CATCTTCAACACTCGTAACATCGCTACATCACATCCGGCGACCCCCAAATAGGTTTGCAAAAGGTGCCGACGCAGTACACTGGAGCTGCTTCTGTGTAAGCCACCCAATAATGTGGTCGTCATCAGGCTGGTACATCATCACCTTCCTATAATCGGCATTATCCATAAGTGTCGAGGCGAAGTGGAATAACGGCGTACTGATTAGGGATGGATACTCGTCAGGCGATGCATGCACTCCGAAATAGTGTACAGCGATTCGTTGCCTGTGAGGTGCCTCACTGTAACCTGCTGATTCTTTGTACGCACCACATCTGTCAGATTGTTCATGCTTTCTGCAATAACTGACGCTCCACTTGTTGCCTTCTTCGACTTTGAAACACTTGTTGACGGCGTCTTTCTCCTTTCCCCTTTTCAATCGGAACATGCTCCAGTGAAAAATCTGAATCCACGTCCTGTACTCCTGCGGGTATCAGATCAGCAAATGGCTGGGCTCCCAAACTATGCACTGAATCAGATGAGTCATCAGCAGCTTCAGGAAGTTTCTCTCCCGGGGTCCAATGGTGCTTCCCAGTAGCTGATGCCCCCATGAAGACCGTCTCCATCAACTCACGATGTTCCAAGGTTTTTTTCCTGAACTTGGCGCACACCTTGTTTATCTGCAGAAATAGAGATATATGAAAGAGGAAGACGTTACATTTCATAAAATTAATTAAAAGTTAACTAAACAAGTAAAAAATGTACTGGTAAATGACAAATATGAAACTTGTTTGTACATGTACTTACCGATTCCATCTTGTCCCACCACTCCTCAGGTGCCTGAAACATACCGGTGTCACTGTCAAAGCCTATCTCTGACACTCCTTTGCTTGAATCCATCAACTTTGTCCACGCTTGCCACTCTTTTTTCAAGCTCATGTACTTATTCTTCAACTACTTCAGTTCATGTTTTCTTTTTGTTTTTTTCTTAAATTTCCTTGCCAAGGACTTGTACCCTGCTTGGCTGAGGACTAGGAATGGGCGATTTCCTTTAGTAATCTCTTTTGCAATCAACTGCAGGAAAACTCAGATTGAGTCACTGTCCCATGAGGCCTTGTGGCTGAACTGATGTGTCTCTTCAAGACTACTTGACTTGTCGGTGACAATGCCTTTGCTTTTCGATTGGGTATACGGAGAAGTACGTATGGAAGCCATTACTAATGCACGGTTACAGAAGATTACCATAAAAAATTTGGTTGTTATATACAAACGCGTAAGCCATTACACATTACTAACAAGAAACAGAGAGATATGATGCTAAATTAGGGAGCATATAACCATTGCAGAATAATAACATACGTACGCAGGTTCCATGGAACTAAGTAGTGGACATAGTTATGATATTCATTAATACGTCGTTACATTTCGTACTAACAAAGGCAAAGGCAAAGGCAGCTTAAAGTCATACTAGAACATACCACGAACATATTAACAACGTCCTAACGCGTTTGTACATACTGACAACATCCTAACCTTTCTTACATACGGAACAACAAAATGACAACGACATTGCATAGCACATACACAATGGTTTTAAGGATACACAAGGATTGTTGAATGTTTATGACATCAGCCCGTAATTGCATGACAAGTTCGTCTCTGTGTAACGCATAGTCTTGGTTGCCTGGCCTTGGTTCTTCGCACCAACCAATCCAACTGACACAGGGTTGATCAGTGCACATGATGGAACTATTAATGAATGGGTTGTTAATGTTCATATAGTTATGACCGGTAAAGAATGGGTGACTCACCACAGGGCGGGGACATGCATAGTAGCGACGGCCTGGATTTTTGGCGGACCTGAAAATCTTAACAAAACAAGGGCCATGTCTACAGGCAAACATTCGTCGTGGCCATGTACTGGAAGTTGCAGTAGAGGTAAACGAAGCCATGCTATGATTGACAGACAATCGATACAGACAATGAATCATGTAAGCAATTAGTTTATGTTATCTGTGTATGAGGTTAAATATTTTCTGAATACAATGTTAGTGCATGTTTTAATGGATACGTATACAAACTTCACCTTCCTTCCGTTTATTTTAAGGAAAAGCAGCCTACATTCTCATGGTTTCACTGTGAAGGTGGTAATAGAACAATAAATCTGTAATTTGGTAAATTTAGATTTCAATGAACATAACAACAGGACATGAACACCGTGTGTTTACATGACAGAGATGAAGAATTCATGATCAAATTATATTATTACTTTTTTCCTACTTATTATTATTATTATTATTATTATTATTATTATTATTATTATTGAACATAACAACAGGGCATGAACACCGTGTGTTTACATGACTGAGATGAAGAATTCATGATCAAATTATATTATTACTTTTTTCCTACTTATTATTATTATTATTATCTTCTGATGTTTTTTGACATTTTCGAATAGTGTATTGATATCAATAATTTTGAAGATTAAAGTTTGTCTCCACATGCACACACAAATTAGACTTACTTTTTTGAATGAAAAATACAACATTAATTTATATATACTTAGACTAGATCAACTAAGAAAGAGTTATATTGAACTAGTTTCTGTATTAGCTTTCAATGAAGACAGATATGAATAAAGAAAGCAGAGGGTCTTATCCGCATGTAACATAATGAAGGTAACAGTGTTTGAAGAAGTGAAGTTCAATAACGACAACCCAAAAATGTGTCATTTATTTAAGAATCAAGACTGCCTGTGAGGAGTGTTTTTTGGAAGGGAGATGGAGACATTTTTTTCACCATTGACAAATCAATAGGTAATTCAATTTTCTTCAAATCAATAGGTATTTCACAGATGGAGACATTGTCTCCAGCATTGACTCACAAATGACAGAACCCATTTAGATCATGTGTTTTCCTTATTCATTGACAGACCATTTCATAACTTATCAATAGGTAATTGACAGATGATAAATGAAGTTTATCATGACAGTGATAAGTAATCAAATGAATTTTGTAACAGAAATTGATATTCATTCACAGAATTGATGTCATTAGTCAGCAGTTGAATGTCATAAATGTAAAATTGTGATTTGAAATTGATAATTTGTAATGTGACTTCTAAGAAAAAAAAAATTGCAGAACAGACTGTTTTGAACAGAACATGTGCCAAGAACAGAACAGGTTGAATATGAATATGACTATTTTTTTACCATGGGTTGATCTACATGAAAATATAAAAACAGATACATATATCTGACTTCAAACCAAACAGATTTATATATAAGAACAGATATATATCTGCCCGAAATGTGTGAAATGTAACCGTAATGAACCCAAACCGAACAGATTTTACAGGTTTTCATATAAGAACAGATATATAAATAAGAACAGATATATATTAAATTATATATATATATATATATATATCTGCCCCAAATGTGTTTGTTAGTAACCGTAATGAACCCAAACCGAACAGATTTTACAGATTTTCATATAAGAACAGATACATAAATAAGAACAGATATATATATTTTTGTTATATATATATGTATGTATATATATCTGCCCAAAATGTGTGAGATGTAACCGTAATCCAAGATAACCGAACAGATTTTTAACATAAGAACAGATATGGTTTAATTTTTCAAAGAGATATATATATATATATACTTATATATCTATCTGCCCCAAATGTGTGTAATGTAAGCGTAATCAACCCAATCACGATAGTAAGGAAACAGATCGGTCATGAACCCAAGCCATTATGAACCCATACTATGCAGATCAGAAGCAGGGGTCAAACAGACGCGAAAAGGGAAATGAAATCAGTTAGGCCATAAAAGCATTACCTGCAGATCGGTTTGTGTTTGAGAGGGTTGGTTCTTGTTTGCCGCCGCAGATGCGTACTCCGGTGCTAATCACCTCTGCGAAGGTGGTTTAAATGTCGTCATCGCCGTTGGTATTTCTGAATCGCCTATTTCGCTTGTTCTGTGTCGTTTGGGAAAGGTGTGTGTGCTTTGGATGAGACGTTGTCCCTCAGAATGAGAGGGATCTCTTCAGGGTATTTTGATAAATTTACACCAATAAGGGTTTCAAACATACCCGTGAATATAGTTTTGTCTGGACGTGGCTAAATCAACCTAATTTGTCCGAACGTGGCTAATTTAGCCCAAGTTTTCCTTCTCAAACGGTACCTGAAGGAGTTAGCGGGGTGCGTGGATGAATATGCACACATACATACATATATATATATTTATGTATTTTATTTTTAGATATAATGTTGATTTGAAAAGAAATTTTTTAGCTTGATTTTTTAACTTAATTTAATCTGGTTAAATTAGTTTCATTTTGAAAGATTCTTTTAGCTTTTTAGATTTTTTTGTAAAAAAAAATAAAATGATTATATTTTAAATATAATATTTTATCTTATTAACTTATTTTATTTATTTTATTTTTTTATACATTTTTAATTCTAACACACTTCTCAAACGATAACTTAAAAAATAGTAATAAGAAATTAAAAAAAAAAGTGAGGGTAGAAAGAGAAAAAAAAAGGATGTAAATAGAAGAAGGAAAATGTTTAGTAATTCAAAATTTTATGGCTCAAATGGCTCAAATCTGTCAAAACGACGTCATTTTACACTCAAAATCTGTCAAAACGACGCTGTTTTAAGTTATTTGAGCCATTTGAGCTACAAAATTTTGAGCTACCTTGCATTGTGGATAGAAGAAACATATTTGTGTTTAGACAATCTCTGTGGTGTTTTGAAAAGTTGATAAAAAAATTGAATTGTTAATTTTTTTTTATGATTTTTAACTTTTTGTGTAAAAAAAATAAAGAGATAACATAATTTAAAAAAGTAAAAAAAAATTAAAAAATTGATTTTTTATTATGTTGTCAAAAACACCCCTATCAGTGTCGAAACCCGTGCATGTGCGTGTCAAATTTCAAAAAAATAAAAATAAAACGCCGTTAAATAACACCGTTATAAATTAAACGGCACACTGTCTGTTTATACATAAAAGCCGTAACAGACAGAAAAGGCTTGCACATATAGCTCTCGATAAGGAGAGAGACTCAACAACTCAAACCCCTCTCTCTCTCTCTCTAAAACGCACAGATCCGAGTGAAATCGTAGGTGAATCGCTCAAACTCTTCTCAATTTCGACTATTGATCTCTTGTTCTGGTTCATGCGATGTAATGTAGTTTCGATTCGTGTTGAGATCTCCATTCGCTTATTGTTTTCTTCGTCTTGCTGTCTGATCTGTTTGTGTTTTGGTCTTGGATATGCCAAATTTGATGAGAAAATGAGAAGCTTTTTGATTTCTGATTAGTTGATTTGAAATGTAGGCCATCTTCAGCCCTTACTCAAAATTTTACTGAAATTTTAGTAAAAGCTTCTTTTTTTTTTTTTTTTTTTGATATGAAGCACTCCAATGTATGTACAGATTCAGATTTAAGTATAAATTTGGGTAGAAGCTTTACTAATGACAAAGTGGTAAATTTGAGAGCCACAAAATAACCTTGAAAATTTTGAGTAAACATTTGAGTCTCCCTTGATTTGGGTAGAAATCTTGGTAAAATACTCAATTTGTTGTGAGATTGGGTCAAGTTGTGGTGGGTGTGTGTTTTTAGTGATTTTGACCCAAATTTAAGTTTGAGTCAAGATTGGAGATGCCCTTGGCCTGGCAATTAAAAAGGTTTGATTTTGAATTTGAATGTGTACTTAAGTATGCCTAATAGTACTCTTTGGTTTAGTCAGATTGGGTTCTCATGTGCTAAGTCAGTTTTCTTAGTGATGACCAAATTGGGGTATAGTGGTTCTTTTGCTCCCATTTTGCTCATAAGGGGGTTGTTTGGAGGATCAGATTTACTATATAGAATATCCTGAATGCGAATTGGCCTGAGAGCCACTGGATTTGTCTTGCATTTTATTTGTTCTTATCGGTTTTGTTCCCATTGTACCAGAGCCTATTTTTGTGTATATATATATATATATATATGTATGTATCAAAGTCTGCTGTGCATCATTATTCGATAGATGTTCACAAAGACTTATAAATAAGAAATATGTATAAATCAACTCATCAAGTTTATATATATATAAATATATATTATTTTTTATTAAGGACAATTTGGTGTTTATTTTGCCATTTTATCCATTTTCTGTCGTCAGAATTAGATCTGAAATCTGTTGTTATTATGCTTCATTATTTCTAGTGGACCACCGCTTTTGCTTGACTGATAATTCTGTGTACACATGTGTGAGCACATATATAGTGTACAAAGGTACGTACATATGTAAGTCTTTTTTCCCCCTGGCTTACTCCACACTTGTTTAGTCAGTATAAGGTGTCACAATTTAATATGCTTAAAGGATTTATAACTTGTACCCACCTTATTACCTGAAATAAATAAATATATGAATGCATAAATGAAGCTTGTACCACCCAATTCTCTCGGTGTTGGAAAGCCAAATGATTCTGTTTGTTGCTTCTTTATATATATATATATATTTTAAATTAAGATGTCTTTTCATGTTTGCCAAAACTATCATCATCTACTTTAAAATTTTCCTCTTTCTCACTTTACTCTTTGTTTAACCCCAATATTTTAAGTCCAATCCGCACAAATATTGTAATGTTTAGAAGTCCTTTAGAAATTCCCCTATATTTAAATTTCATGTAGGAGTGACAATGCTAGATGGGGTTGCAAACAAGCCGAGCCGAGCCGAGTCGAGTCGAGCTTTGCTGACCTCGAGCTCGGCTCGTTTAAGCTCGACTCGTTTACTTATCGAGCTCGTTTATTGAGCTCGAGCTTGGCTCGGCTCGTTAATTTTAATGAAACTCGAGCTCGGCTTGGCTTGGCTCGATAAGGTTTTTTTATATTATTATTAATATTATTTATATGATTTAATATATAAATAATATATGTATTATATAATTTATATAAAGATAAACGAGCCGAGTTTATTCGAGCTTGAGCTCGGCTTGTTTGGCCAAGCCGAGTTAGCTCGCGAGCAGCTCAGTTCATTTGTAGTCTAGTCCTAATGCTAAGATAGTTGTTGGGAAAAGGGAGACTGTTTGAATAGATGGTTGGTTCCTCTTGATAGAATTATAGAAACATAGTTCCAAGCAAAGCATACAAGTGTACATCAATGAACTTATTAAAGGAGACAATTTATGTTGGGGCTATTGGGGAGATATAAGAACTTGTAAGACTCAATAAAAATTGAAATATTTTCTATTCTTTTACATTTCTTGAGATATACAATGCACATTAAGGAATTTGTTTTGTGTTGTTTACTATATCTAACGTTATTTGGGCCTCATGATTTGCATACATTTTTTTGTGACTTGGTTTTTTGTTAATGTTGATAAATTTACTAGACAACTGCATTTGTCCGACAATCATAACATTGAGTATTACATTTTCTTTTTTTTCTAACTTGAACTGCATGTGCCTTCCCCAACCCATGATGGCAGCACAGTTGTTTATCCCAACTCTTGATGGAACTGCTATGGTCCATTCACTCACCCATGCAATAATCTCAGAACTTGAATGATTACATAACCAAATTTGTGACCTGGAATGGATATTGTAAACTGAGTTCAAGCATTTTTACATTTGTTTTGTTTTGTGAATATTTAATGGTCGGTAGAAATTAACAAATATGTAACTAATCAGAGATTTGGTTGAATCTTGCTCTGCTCTGATTATATGAATGGACAAGCCCTACTAGGACAAGGAGCATTCATTTTACATTTTTTAAGTGCAATTGTTCTCTATCTTTTGCTTTTTCCCTTATCGGTCTTCACTTGTGTCATGGTTTTCTTTTCCTCAGCAATTCAGTCTTTAATCTTTATTGTTTTGTAGTTTGATTAAGAAAGAGTTCAATGTCTTTTCATTTTCAGCAAAATGGGAGTGTGAATATATGTTGAATGTATTGATCTGAATACGGAGATGCATTTGGTGTTTTACAAACAGTGGAATAGGGAAAAGATTTGAACTTGCAGAAGGAAATACTATCACAGAGTTAATCTTCTCTGTTAGTGCAGCAACTATGACCCGTAATTAGCTGTAGCGCAATTTTGTTTTTTGTTTTCCCCCCTATACTTTTGCAATGTACTGGTTGTCTGGGCCTTGGTACATATTTATACAGAGGAACTGCTGCATGATTTTAATTTTTTAAAATCACACATCCAAAGGAACTGCATTGAACATCACTGAGATTGAGCTATTTCCAAGTACACTTGGCATCTAAACCTGTCTAAATTGGCACGACTTCTATCTATGTTACTGGAAATTACAGCAATAGACTATTGGAATTGGATGATTGGATGAACTTTTTTTTTTTATATATATTTTTTACAACAAGAATAGAGGTGATAAGATTGTGATACTTATGCTTCTCTTTTGCAGTGTGATGGGGATGGAAGTTACAGATATATGCTTGGACAAAGAGCCAGATTGTGTCATAATTTATTCAAATGGTGTTTCTCATGATTCAAATCAGGAAACTAGCACATTTCATCATGATGTTTCGGAGTCATATGAGCATATTAATGGGGATCCAGTACCCCAGGTGTTGGAAGAGAATGCTGAAGTTAAGGAGTGTGAAGTGAAGGAATGCACTACTGAAAACTTGGTTAAGGTTTCTGAACTCTGTCAAGTTGAAATACATGAGGAAAAAGTACCAAGTTCAAACTGTGACACTCATTTGCAGGATGAGAAGATGAAAATTGAAGCTCAACCAACAAGCGATGATAATAAGAAATCTAAATTTGCTGCAAAAACTGCATCCAAACCTGGTTCTGGAAATGCTCGAACAAAATGCACTGTTCCACAGCCATTTGCTCTGGCAACTGAAAAACGTGCTTCATGTGGAACACGTCCTGTTGGAAATGAACCTGATGTTGGTACTACTGTGAGCAAATCATCTAACTCAAACAGTTTGCAACACCAAATTACTACAAAACAAAATCAGGTGATGGCACTAAACCACGTTTAGGTTGTAAAACTTGTACTAGTTGATGGTTTCTAACATTTCTTACACTTTCACCTACAAGCTCATAGTAAATAGAAGCAAGCTTGTAAAGCCTGTCTCAGTGAATTCACAATTTTCTCTTCCTGCCTCGCCCTCCTATTTCTTCTTTTCCTGCTTCCTTGTCTAGGACTGAGCAAGGAATCCGAAAAATCCACAATCTAAACCGGTCAAGTCCAATCCGGTAGGTTTTGAATGGTTTTTTGAATCCGTGGATTGGTTTTGGATTGAAAAATGGAGAACCCGTTCTCTGCGGATCGGTTCCGGATTGGAGTTCATGGTTCCAGATTAGAATCGATTTGGACTGTATGTAACTTAAACCATATATATAATCCTACACTCCTATAATTGTTGTTGCTACTGACAAAATATTTGTTCGATGGAAGTTTTATGCTCCCTACATGTTGATCAATATGTTTATTTACTACATATTATGTTTGTTTAAGTTAATAGTGGAACAATATGCATGTTTATGTTTCGAAAAATTATGGACAGATTAATGTTGAAATAAAAATGTTATATGATTTTTCTTTATGAACTGATTATGTGAAACCGTGGTTCTAAATCAAGCCGAACCATGTCTAAATGGATTGGGTCGGATTGGTTCCATGATTTAAATGAATTGGCTTGCTTCCAATTTTTATGGAACCGTAGACAACGGATTGGTCCTGGTCCCAAACCAAACAATCCGGACCATGCTCACCCCTATCCTTGTCATCCCTTCTCAGAAAATGTACAAAGAATGTCTTTCTATCCTATTAAACAAGAGAATTTCAAAACCAATATTACTTATAAAAATCATCTCGTACTTGTTGCTTCAATGTAACCCTGAATTTGGTACCTGTTTATTGCTGATAATGCAACTTTTCTATCTACCTTACAGCTGGTTTCACCTTTGGTATCAAGGAAGCCACTTCAACCTGATAATAAGAAACATCCCGATGAAGATGATTCTTGTTCTGTTGCTTCCTCGTATCCTCTTGTTTCGCGCTAAGCTTGACTCATCTTAAATAATATGCTTTTATTTTTACCTTTTCTTTTTTACTCTGTCATCTGTCTGAGCCCTCTGTTGGGTATTTTCTTAACCATGCAAAGTACTGCAGCATCAGTGAGGACTATTAAGTCTAGGACAACTGTTGCATCTGCTCCAACATTTAGATGCATTGAACGTGCAGAGAAACGCAAGGAGGTAGTGCATCATTGATCTTTGCACGTGAAGTTTGTTATATAATCTATTTGAGCAAGGAGGTAGTGCATCATTGATCTTTGCACGTGAAGTTTGTTATATAATCTATTTGAACGAACAATGATTTTAAAATCAGACTTTGAACGCAAACTTGAGTTCCTTTGTTTTTTTTTTTTTTTGTTGTGCTCCCTTCTTTTAGTTTTATTCAAAATTAGAGGAGAAGCACCAAGCGCTGGAGGCTGAGAAAACCCAATGGGAAGCAAGGACTAGGGTATGATTTTGCAATGCTGTCTCAAGTATAAGTTAAATCATTTTGAGAAATCCACTGTCCATTCTTCCTGATACATGTACCCCAGGATATAATATGCCCCTTCTGTTTCACTCCTGTGCAATTGCATCTCTTTATCTTTAATCATTTTTAACACTTCTAGGAAGAGAAAGAGGCTGCTATCAAGCAACTGAGAAAAGGTTTGACGTTCAAGGCAAACCCGATGCCAAGTTTCTACCACGAGGGACCACCACCCAAGGTTGAACTGAAAAAGGTATTGCATAAATTCCAAGCAGGTTCTCTTGCCATTATCTAGCAGTAGAGAGATGTTATTTGAAGCACAAATTTCTCGTAGTTTGTAGAGAATGACAAGTAGCATTAAAATTAATAAGCCAAAAAAGAAGAAAAAAGAAAAAAAAGAAGCTGGGAAAGATATATTTATAATTAGTTTTATCTATACTCATGGTTGTTCATATTTTGGCTTTAGAAATTTCAAAACCCATTGCTCTATTTGGATGGCAGCCACCACCAACCCGTGCAAAATCACCAAAATTGGGTAGAAGGAAGAGCTGCAGTGATGCTGTTGGTTTGTCTCAGCGAGACAAGGGTATAGGAGCTAGTGATCGAGGAACTCGTCACAGTTTTGGCAATTACAAAGACAGTACCACCACCACTACTACTACCAACAGGAAGGATCGGAGCAGTATCCAGAATGGTAATTCTGCTTGCAAATTCAAAGATGAATCCAAACAAATGAGAGAGACAAATCCGTCAATTTCAACCAAGGTAAATGGACAAGGGAATGTAGACATTGCTGTTGAGTCATGAGTCTTTGGTGAGTTTCTAATTTAAATGAGGGGAGAAGTCTCTTTTCCCTTGTTTCCTTATGACTTATTTAAGGAATGTTTATTTGATCCCCCTTAATCTGCAAGGACTTGTTGCAGTGGCTTGTGTTATGTTGATGTGTTTTAAAGTGTAAATTTTTGTATCTTATTTTCACACATATATGTATAAAGAGCTCCAATTTGTCATAAATGCTGTTCCATATATTGCTTCTGATTAAATTTAACATTATTTAGTTTTATTTGAAATTAGGAAGCAGTACATGAAACATTTTGACTTGCATATTTGTTTGCGTTGAAGATTTTTTGTTAGTTGTGTTAGGTAGTGTCGAAGAAGTGATTGCTTTACCGTGTCTATAATCTGGCAACGGGGGTAAAGTTACAACCCGAGGGCCCTTTAAGATGTGCTTTATCAGGGCAGAAATCCCCTATTTTTGGCTTGATAGTGAAAAGTTCTTAAAGCAAAAGAAAGATGCACGTTGAAGTGTTTGGAGTAGACATACTGATAAAGATAGACTTTTTAAGGCAGGAAATAACCATATGTGGAAGCAGAATTGCTAGTCAAAAAGGAGTTTGGGCTTTAGAATTTGTGATGGTTCTAGACCTTTGATTTTTCCTGTTCTCAGTTTCCATGTTTGTTGGCGTTTTACTTATCAATGAATTAATCTACCGATCATGGAAGATTTGACTTTCATTTTTTTAGGCTTTTGCATAGAACATTTTGACTGTTTGACTTTAAAACTTTTGACGTAAGATGTATGGAGGTGAAAGGGTATTTCTGGCATAGTTTGATTTGCACACCTCACTTTGATGGGGTTGAAGTGAATTCACTGTCATTACAATCCCAAATTGTTTGCTAAGTATTTTGTTTTCTGTTTTTATTTTCTGGAGAACACGGATTCTATGGCTTGGGCAAGTTGAAACAGCTGGTGTTAGATCATCGAAGGAGATCAGAATTGTTGAGAGTGAGATTGATTAATTATGACATTGAAAATTTGAGTTCAACTTCATTTCAAGTGAAAACTGAAGTAGATTCTTCATGGTTCCTAGTATGCAAGCGTTTGGATTTTAATTCCCCAGACAAAACGTGGAGTAAGCCCTGGGAATAATTGGATCAATATAGGCTTGATGATGAGGGGTTGAAACAAAAAAATTTCCATTTACGGCTTGAAACATATGATAACAGGATTCTCAATGAGAACGAGCCAGGTAAATGGAGGGTTTCATGATTGAAGCTTGCTCCAATGTGAAAAAAAAGGCAATAATAGGAATGGGTTTTCGTATTTCCCTAGGAGGATCTGGATTTGGTCAGTTTCTTCTGTTAAATTATATAAACCCTCGTAGGAACTCAATGTGAACTTCAAACTTTGCAGAAACTACTTAACACACATACATACAAAAAGAAGAAGACAGAATGTGTGTCAGCACGGTAAGGACATTTTTAGCGCGGTGAGATCAGCACCATCCTTTTCCGCCACTTAGATAGTGCTGGCATTTCCCTGTAACTGTTACGGCCATTGTCTTTTGTAAATGGTTACCGCCGTTAGCTTCTGTAAAGTTTGTAAACCAGATTCTCTTAGAATTCATTTCCTCCCCCCTGATTTTCTCCCTTCTTACAATATCAGAAGGTCAGTTAGGCTTGTCTAGAAATGATTTGAGTAGGGGAAACAAGGGAAAAAAAAAGTAGCTTCTATTTTATCCACTTAGGATTCGTTTGGGAACCTTCCATTTTAGTCAAAAAGTCAAAAAGTTACTAAATTAGCCAAAAAGCCAACAACTCATACCAAAAAGTCAAAGATTATATTTTCTCTCTACTTTTTGCACATTTTTTCGTAAAAAGTCCAAAAGTCATCCCAAACATACTAGTTTTTTTTAGCTCATATTTTAGCCAAATAGCCAAAAAAGTTACTAAATTAGTCTGTTCTCAAACGAGGCCTTTTTATTTTTATTTTTTATCCCAACACAAATTCTTTCTCAAATCTTTGATCCAAATAAAGCTATAAGCCTTCTGCTTCACTTCCCCACTACTTTTTTTCTCCTAATACCCATGCACTTCTATTCTTGGCTCTGCTCAAGCTTTTACTAGCCAACCTGTCTTCCTTTCCATTCAAGCTTGGAATCACAATATTTTTTGGGTTGCCCTCATTGATGAAGGTTGTCCCACCTCTCATCTTCTCTTTTTCCACAAGTGGGAAGCAAAGAGATCTTTAAACATCATGTCAAATGTTAGTCCTAGTAAAGTAAATGATTCTGAGTTAGATTGTCTCACTGACAAATTTTAGATAGTAGTATTAGGTGAATCAAATAATGCGTATCAAGATTTTCAACTTTTGGGATTGAAATTAGCGACTTCAGAAGAAATTAGTTTTTGTTTTTTGTGGGAGTGCATGACTAAAAAACGTTTGAGAAGGGTAACTGCCAATTATCCCTCTCTCTCTGAGATTTTCGATAAGTTAAAAAGAGTGATTTATGACGAAACTCCAGCGAGGCTTAAATACATTTCTTTTTTGCTTTGTTATTATTATTATTATTTTTTAATGCATAGATCTATGCTAGGCGACCACCCTTGATCCAAAGGGTCTGATCTGTTCTTATGTGATGGAAATTGTAGCACCCAAGCCAACGGTAGCGACAAGAAGAGTTTGTAGAAGGTTGTGATGGTGTTTTGGTTGGTGTGTTTGTTTTGTTTTGTTGTTTTGTATCATCATATTTCCTACTTGTGTGGAAGTTTATTTTTCCTTCATTTGGGTGGCGGCTTTTATCCTCTGTATGGGTTTTTTCTTTCCATTTTGAAAACTTTATTGCAGTACGATTTTTTTTCATTGAATTTGTGGCCGGATGTGGATGTGCAATGTATTGAGGCCCTGGTCTTTTCCATCAAAACATAAAAGAAAAAAAAAAAAAGAAAAAAAAAAAAGAAAGAAGAAGAAAAAGAAAAAGGTAAAAGTTAAACTAATCATATATGTTAAAGGTGTTGTTTGACAACATTTAGTTTTAGCCAAAAAGTCATTATAAATTGTCACATCACTTTCTTTGTTTTTCTGTACATTTTTTTCGTAAAAAGTCAAAAAATTATTAAAATAGTCTGTTCCTAAATGAGAAGCAGTTAAACTAGTCATATAGGTTGTGTGACCCTTGTAATGAATAGGCTATAAATTGAACATATTGTGAACTGACTGATATGGAAGCGATTTTAACCTTGATCACTGGTTGGTCACATTAGCATTGCTACAAGTTTGTCATTTGAGTTAGAAAAGTGTTGTATACTATGAAATTGTATTCCAAATTTTATTCTGAAATTAAATGAGATGAAAATGGTGTAGATTTGAAGTTAGTAAGATGTGGGTCACATTTATAAACACTTTTCCGAATACTTTTTATGTGTTCCTAATATTGTAGTTGGAGTTAATTCTTCCCACATGGGTATGGGTTAGTGACAGAGAGATTATTGGGAGGTGTTTGGTTTTGTGTTTAAGAAAGGCTTGTGATTTATTCCAGTGTCTATGAGATTGGGAATTTGGGATTGGAAGCAAACTTTTTTTCTGTGGATTGAGGAGAACTGATTTATGTCTAGTAAAGCGTTTTCAATAATAGGTAAACAAAGTCTTAATGAGTTAATTGTGTGAAAAGCATGATAGGGAAGGTGTAGATAGTAAGGACCACCGCTTGTCATCTGACTCACAAAAGAAACCTCTTCTCATCCTCACGTATATAAGGGCCCATGAGAAACAATGCATGGCAAAATCAAAATCAAACAGTCTTCTCTCTCTCTCTCTCTCTCTCTCTCTCTCTCTCTCATAGTTGAGGGGAGTGCTGTCTGGTTCGAGACTATCCATTTGAAGTGCAAACCATCGTCTGAATGATCTCGGACCAGGCTTCATTCCCCCCAACTTGAAATTTGCATTCACAATGGCCATACCATTCAAACACCTCTTGCTCTCTCTCTAAAAAAATCTCAGTTTGTGAATTGTGTTCTAATATTTTTTTTTTGTATTTTTTTCCCCTTCAAGGAAGATCTTGAAGAGCATATGAAAGTACTAAGCTAAGAAAGGAGATGATCAACCAACATCCAGCAATTTAAGAAGGTACTTATTATGACCTACTTCAAAGAAAGTCCATGAAAACTACAATTTACAATGTGTACCATACATATATATTTCATCTATTGATGTGAATAGTTTTGAATTTGTGTTTATCTTTCAAACAAAATTCAAGGAAGAATTATTGTCACAATGGAATTTTCTTGTTCATCTTTATATTCTCAGAAATAGTTATTTATCATGCAATATTTGCTAGAATCATTGCATAATTTAGTTTTACTGCAAAGAAAAGAACAATTCTTATGAGCAGCTGAATAGACTCCTTTAAATGAGAGGAGAGACAACTGTAGTTTTGTTTATGTTGATTCAAGTTCACTTTTATGGTTCCATTTCAAATGTATGGATGGCATAGGTGAAAAATTGGTTGTTTTTTTTTAAAAGTTTGCTTATTAATGCACACTTTAGTCTGCACCATTTTCCTATTTGGTTGTGTTTTCGTTTTTTGTTTTCTGGAAACACACATCTTGTTTCACAATATTTTAAAAGATTATTTTCAATTTTGTTTTCTAAAAACAATCCATTTTTAAGATACCGATATGGAAAAATGAATGGTTTTTTACTTTTCATTGGTTTGTTGCCCAAAAATGAAAAGCAAAAACTAAAAAGAAAAAAGAAACACCAAAAACACAACCAAACAGGTTGGAAAGCAGTGATGGATTTAGTGTGAAAATAAAAACAACAAAAATTTTAAAATTGGAAAATAAAGTTAGATTTCATTTTTAGCAGTTGAATCTGCTACCAAATGAACTTTGCTTGTAGAGAGTTACAAAGAATATAAGTTTGAGAGCTTTTACTTTTTATTTTTGTTGCATGAGAGGGAATCAAAGTGGAGCTTTGAATTGTACACCCTTTTTTACCTAAGACTGCCATCATAACATTTCCTTATAGTGTAAGCTCATTCCTAGCTTTTTAACCACCATGTGGGACTGGTCTAACCTAATGTAGGTAACATGTCCATGAAAAAACCTATAGTACACCATGTGGCTCTGTTATAGGCCATGCCCTAAAGTTCTGTTTTTATGTGGGTCAGATTTAATCCCTGTGGGTCAGGTTTAATTAAGAAATTTAAGGGTGCCTAGTGGGTCAGTTGGGTACCACTTCTTCTCTTGAAGATGGGGTGAC